TGGAAGGGCCCCCAACCTGTTTTGCCTGAAGAACACTCTTTCCAGCTGTGTGGTGTGTACAATACTGTGCAGGTGAGGGCTGCTGCAGGGGCGGGCGGGGGACAGCATGCACCCGCGGCAGGCTCGGCAGGGCGGCCGCGCGGCGGACGCGCCGGCAAAGGTCGGCACTGCTGCGGTACATGCCTCAATCGAGCTTGCTGCACTGCATTGCTCTTCGCCTTCTGCAGATCCTGCAGACCAACGAGACCAAGCGCACGGGCACCAAGCCGTTCCAGGTGCGGCGGGGGCGGTCTGGCTCCTGGAAATCTGCAGTAGGGGCACCTGTGCTGTACAGCGCTGTGTGACCGACACGCAAGATCCCCTGTTGCAACTTGCAGGGCTCTGGCCGGACCAAGGCACCCTTTTACGGCGTGTGCCAGACCTTCATCTACTACAAGTGAGTGCAGGCTGACAGACAGCTTCAGAATGCATGTGTGCTGCTGTTGTACAATTCCCGTTAATAGCCTTCCGCCCAAGCCCCGCTTGTCCCCCCGCGCAGGTTTGCCAACTGGAACGTCCTCAACAACTTCCAGACCTGCCAGTCCAAGCAGGTTATTTACGTTAACCAGGTCATCAACAAGGGTTTCAAGACGGTAAGGGCACGCCGCGCAACCCCACGCAGCCGACTGCCTGCACCGCCCACCACCACTAAGGCACTGCAGTCCCGGCAGCCCGCTGTCTGTTGCGTGCGCCTGCTCACCGCCCGCCTGATCCGCTGCCCTTGCCGCAGATCCTGAAGACGCCCACCAAGTACTCTCGCTGCTGAGCAGCTGGCGCGCCACGGCGCGGTCCCAACCAGCCTGCGGGCCTCATGATCATGAAGCTGGTTGTAAATCTTGGCGGTTTAGCCTTCCCCCGCGATTTTGCCCAGTAAATTAATCCGGCGCATTGCCTCGCGCTTAATCTACTGCGCCTATTGCAAACTTGCTTGCTGGCCCCTGCCGGTCACACCAAGTGTTACAGTTACATATGTAAACTCGAAACGCAAATTCCATTCATTCATTCAGCACACAGACCGGCCGCCTCTTGCTCGAGGGCGGCCCACTTTGGCCTGGGCAGCCCGGGCCGCCCTCCCCCCCGGGCGCATGTTCGGTGTTGGAGGGGTGTGCCCAGCGATAGGGGGGCCCTGAAGGCATGCGCCGAGGCCGGGAAGCGTGGTTCGGCGCTGCTGCACGCTTGGCGACTTGAACAGAACCGCGTGCCGCCGAGCTGCGGCCGCAGTTTCCGGCCCACGGTCTACGGCCGCAGCCACGGGACTCGGCGGCACGGCGTTTGGGCCCAAGCTTGCTGCCGCCGCCGCCGCCGTGCCCGGGGGGCAGCGCGGCGGCAGCGGCGGCACGCTGCGACGCCCCCGTGCTGCCGAGCTGCGGCCGTAGTTTCCTGCCAGAAGCCCACGGCCACAGCCACGGGACTCGGCGGCACGGCGTTTCGGTCCACGGCTTGCTGCCGCCGCCGTCGCAGGGGTGCTGCCTGCGGCG